GTGCGCCACTGAGTCAGGAGAGATCCAGTTAAAAAAATATGGATCATACTGTATTAAACAGCTTTCTGAAATAAGCTCACATTTCACTATTTAAATTCTAGGAAATAAATTGCAACCAAATATTTTTTATTGTAATTGCAGTCAATGTTTCAGTTCAAAATAAGTTATTTCTTGCAAGATTAGTGCTGATTTTGTTAAAATCATTTGAGAGGTGGAAGTTTCACAAGTTGAAAAGGTCTGAGAAGCAAGGAATTAGATAATAATGGGGAAACAAACCAGACATTGGACTGGGGGGCATGAGCTTGGAATCTGACTGTGTTGCCCTTTTCACACTCCTTATATAAAATATTAAAGATAAATACAGTAGCTGAGGTCAGATTGTTTTTGCTGAATGAAAAGCTTCAAACTGAAGAAACGGAGAAAGATTCTCCAATCAGAAGTGACATCTGACGTGTATTATAGATGACGTACCGTATATTGAGTACAGCACTAAAGTGAATTCCAACACAAGGGGTTCGGAAAACCTCAAACACCCAGGAAGTCAAACAAAGACCAGCTCAAAGACATTTCACCTAGGCTTTGACAAAAAAAAAAACACTGTGGCTTCAACCAAAGTCCATTTTATATTACATCTATGCTCTAATTAAACTAAACCTGATATACTGTATTTCGTAAGAATGAAATGGATCTTGCTACATTTTTCCCGCTGGGGAAGATCGGAACACAGCCCTCTCTTCACAGAGCTAGCAGCTGCAGGATACTGTCAGCGCTGATGGGTAATCCCACTGGAAGCTGACGCCAACCCCTGTAATGCTGGAATGTGATATAGCATCAGCTTTGTGGGTTGGAAATATTTGGAAGCATTGAAGCAACTGCACAGCACTCAGCCAAGTGGAATTCCTAAAAAAAAAAAAAAAGACGAGAAAGCGAGAGCGAAAAACACCATCAGTATTCCCGCCTCGCTGAACCTGAGTCAAATGTAAAGGCCGACTGAAATCACAATCTGCTGGAATCCTAGACTCCCAGCCTCGTCCGTACCGCATGACAATGAAACCCATTCAATCTTTCTCTTCCTGATTTAGGCACAGAATTGGAATTACTTCCTCATTGAAAACGCTAGCCTGAAATTCTGTAGCCCAACAGGAGGGTAATCCAGTATGGAGCCCAGAAACCATAGCCTCACACCTAGAGCAGAAACATCACCTTCAGAATCGCACACCTACTGTAGGGTGCAGGGCAAAGACCTTGACTAGCCACAGTGAAGTCACTTTCTACTACACCATCAAAATAGGTTCTGTAATCTATTCATAATATCACATTCACAAGCTTACAATCTATTAAAAACCTGCTACATTAATTTCTGCATCCAAGAATCTAGTTTCCTTGGATTATACATTACCAAAGGGTTTCAAATTTCTTAGGTCTGACTGTGACAGTAAACCATACTATAGTGTTTTGAAACCCTCATACATTTACAGTATACTTAAGAGTAATATGTGTATCTCCTCCATGCAGAAAAAAGCCATAGTTTATCGCCAGCCTCACATGGATTATCATCCTTGAATGATTATGGTTAAACAACTATTCACAGCTGCATTTTTAAATAGCATAATGTGGCACACATTCTCCAAAACATGGAGAAACAAAATCAATTCAGTATTTAATAACTCTTAACACAAAAATACAAAGAGCAAGAGTGGAGAGGTATATTAAGTAACTTTCCATGATCTTAATTATATTTTGCAGTCTGCAAAATGGAGATGACACTTACTTCTATGTGAGCAACACTTTAAAGACTGCGCATATTGAGGACACATTTTTCCCTGATAGTAATGAGCCGTCCTAACTGCAGTTTTAAACTCCAGGATATTCTTTAGATTCCCAGTTTTCTTCTTCGGTGAAAGAACAGACAGACAATTTGTGCAGTGACTTTAAACTCAGAAGAATTCATATTATATGTCCAGATTTAATTGTCAATACTGTATTAGGTGGGAGTACAATTTGAAATGCTCTTGAATTTTACCGTGGGAAAAGCCTTAACAACATTCCAAAACAATCAGGAATGAAATGTACGTGTATGAAGTGGTGAAGAAGCACAGCCTCCTTAACTGCCTACCAATTCAGAGAGAAAGCACCACCTGTCTCCAAGGAGCAGAGAATGGTTGATCAGCATTGCTCAAGCTTACCTGTTGCTTGTTGCCATTCCAAGCTTGCTGGGAAATGGATAGGTGGCCCGGCATTGAAGACCTTAATCTACAGGAGCCACATGGAGCTTTCTAATGCTTTTGCATATTTTAATTTCCATTTTACAAAATGGTTCAGGTAAAAACAGAGAATATGATCTTTATCTGTAATAATGCATCCACTTGGTTTTAATATTGTATTTACCGAGTGTCTGTTTGCAGTGGACCAGGTGAGCATTGTGGACCAGCTGAAATGCATGATGGGCATTTGAGTTTTAAATGGAAGGCGGCAATATTGCTTTTATTGTCATTGATGAAACTGATTTTAATTTTTTGCAAACAATCAGACTGAAGAATGGAACAAGTTCATATTGTTTTCTTAGAAACTATGCACCCTTTGTTTAATTTTATTAGTTTATGACTTATTACTGTAAGTATAACATAAGAGATTTAGTTCTGTTTTTCGTCCCAGGTCACACATATGCTACTTTATCATCAAAACTGAACTTGAATTATGTTTTATTTGCCAACAGAACAGTGTCTTAAAACTATCAAGACATTGACTAAGACTGTATTCTAGTTTAGACTAAAGCTGTTTCATTAGTAGGCATATTTAGCAGGCAAAAAGGGGTTTTATGTCTAACAGTTGATGCGGTGACAATAAGAGAATTGTACTGTGAATCAATCTTTTGAACTCAGTCTTGTGCATTTCAGACCTTACTTACAGTTTATTATTCTAACATCTCTGAAACTGTGCTGGGCAGATCTGTGCCTGAGAAAATGATCGATGGTTTGACATCCTGTACATTCTCTAGACCTTACTATCCGAATTCTGCATCCACACTGTTGGCCTCAAAGGAGTCTCAATAAAACTTTTTTTCCCCGAGTTTCTCAGGACACCCCAAGAACAGAACACCCTGATTTCATTATACTTGCCAAGGACGCATTACCTAATCAGTGCCTGATTAGAGAAATAAACGATTTTCCATGGAGAAATGAAAAAAGATGACAAAATAATTAAAATAATATTTATTAAAAAAACATAATTCATATATTTGTCACTACTTGAATTCATTAAGGTTTTAAAACTTAAAAGCTAAAAAATCTCTTTGGATGTAATTTGCTTGTAGTACAAAACATGATCCACATACTGTTAACTGGCTTCACGTTTTTTTTCTCTTTCAGTGTATTGACATAGCTGAAGCTCTTTGACACCACATAGTAGCAGTCAATGTTTCATAGAAACAAACAGAGCCTTTAAAGTGATGTACAATGATGTAGACCTCTTATGACTCGTCTGTCATATTTTAGACCGCATACATTTTTTTGTTTTTTTTCCCCTGTGATGTTCCTGGCCCAATGTCTTCTGAACACTTAGTTCAAAGTGCCAGATGTACATCATGGAATGCACTAGTAAGACTTCACTTAGAACATTGTGTGCAATTGTCTTCACTGCGTTACACCAAATTAATTGCTCTTGTGGAATCGGTACAAAGAAGAGCAACTGGTCTCTAAGGAATATCCACAATGACAAGATGAAAGAAACGAAAACCTTTCAGTCTTGAACAGAGAAGACTACAAAGAGAACCTGGATCAGTGTTCAAAATCCTCAAACGCAATGACAAAGTCAACCCAACGAACTTGTTCAGAAACGACAGTGAAACCCGAAGCAGTGTGTGGAAGCTGCACAAAGTGCCTTGAAAACTACGGACAGGCAGTACTTCTTTACACTGACAGTGGTGCAGGGACGAAAGCAGCTACCCCACCACGTGACTAAAGCTGACGCCATGGTTGAGGTCCACAGATTCATTAGATACCAGCAACTAAAGGGGCTAGACGGATCCAATGGCCTCCTCTCATTTATTTCCTTTCTTACGTTCACAGGGCCAAGATTCATCTTTCAACAAAACGATGACTCCAAGCACACATTAAATGTGGCAAGGATTTCTTTGGAATTTAAGGAGGCTCAGAAAGATGAATTGTCCTGCACAAAGTCCTGATAGGAACATCTGAGGCTGGGGTTACACAGATGCTGAGAATGGTCACCGGGAAACTAGGATGAACTGTGGGAAAAGTTACAGGGGATTTGAAAGAGCATTCCACAGCCCGCCTCCGAAAAGCTGTACGGGAGCATGGAAACAAGATGTCAAACCCCATACCAACCACCCAATACACAACCACGATATTAATGTTCCTTTGCAGATTTTCTGTAATAATGACAGTCGAATTACAAATGTCCTTCAGATAATTAGCATTATATGGTTTAGCTGACAGGTTTTCTGCTTAGCTATTTATTTCTGGAGAAATAGAGATTTAATCCGATAAAAGAAATCTACAAAAATTTTACATCTACATATTTTTAAGGAGAGTGAGATAAGCACTGCTACTGTACAATCAAGATGTACAAAGCTTTTCAAGGTCTCATCACCCTCTAGTGGTAACCCTTGCACAATGCCATATATAACTTTACACCCAAGAGTTTCCTCACCCTTTAATATCCTGGTTGCGTGTATCAAATTCTAATAAACAAACTTCTCTTACTGTGATGAAAGGTAATTCAGTGCAACGCTTAAGTAGTCTTTAAAAACCCATCTTGTCTTAAACTTTCTTGTGCTTTGGCTTCTGCTTAAATAATAATAATAATAATAATTGCTTACACTTATATAGCGCTTTTCTGGACACTCCCCTCAAAGCGCTTTACAGGTAATGGGGACTCCCCTCCACCTCCACCAATGTGCAGCATCCACCTGGATGATGCGACGGCAGCCATAGTGCGCCAGAACGCTCACCACACATCAGCTATCAGTGGGGAGGAGAGCAGAGTAATGTAGCCAATTCATAGAAGGAGTCTATAGGAGTCAAATAGGAGTCTGCAACATCAACAACACCAACACCAGCAGTGCCCCAGAACACAAAGGAAAGCAAACATAATGGAAGCTACATTATTTTACTATAGTTGTGAGAGCAGTGATCTACTGAGGCCGGGTTGAGCAGCTCACACTTCAGCCCAGGATAGGACAGAATATAATATCTATTATATTCTTTAAGAGGGAGTTAGGGAATATTTAATGCTCACATTTGTAAAATATTTAAACTACAGGCACTGAGAAGAATTTCCATTTTAGTACATGTGCTGTATAGGTACATACAATTTATATATTAGCCGACATAGCATCTACAAAAAGACACTTACACTCATGAAACTAAAAAAAGGACTGGACCAATTGGAATTAACAATCCCTTTCCTGCATCTTGCCAAGATCAGGAAACCGATGAGAAATAAGCCTTGTGCTTGCCCTCATATATGGGAACATGGGAATAATGAGCATCTTAAAATCAAGTCTCCCTTGAGAGATTCTGGAATCTGTGATTTCATTTCTGTTTCCATGTCGAGGTTCCCAGATTCTTACTGGTCTACCCAGGTGCCCACTGGCATGACTGGTCTATGTTTTTGATTAACTAGACAAAAGACGCCTGAGAAAAATGACTGAACTATTTTTCTCTCAGAAAAATAATTAAATATGCCCAGTGGAGACAGCAATTACGCAGATTGCTGAAACTGAAGAAAGAGGACTTAAAAATGTCTACATTCCGAGACAGATAATGTACAGTAAGAAGAAAAACATATTTCATGAACAATTGTGCAAGACTTGCCTGCCACATCTTAAAACACAGAAGTACAAAAACATTAAAATCTGCAAGTTTTATACTGATACCCTAAAAAGACTATGCATCTTCCATATTACATTTATTTTTGTAAATCAGAGAAAACAACAAACCACATGGACTTCTCCCGACGTAATTAAAGCTTCTTGTTTCCATTGTACACACCCTGAACTATTCTCTGACCTGGACTGGTTTCTCTCATATTACTGTTTCTTCTTTGATTTTTTGGTGTGCATCCTTTAATTCATTGCTTCAGTATTTCATGTTCATTGGAAAAATAAAAAGTAAGAATCATGGCAGATTTATTTTTTTGTTACAAATTTATTTTAGCACTAAAATTGACATGGTCATCCTTTCTGATCTGTATAATTAGAAGAGTAATCGAAGTACTTTAAAAAAAGCTGATGTCTATTCCAAAGTGAAATGCTGCCCTACAACCTCCCCAGGCCTGTTCAGGAGCTCCTTGGCTGGCTCAAACTCCAGTGGCACAGGGCCGGCCTTGGCCTTCAGGTCCCTCTCAAAGATCTGAAAGCATACATGCCGCTGTTTAATTCTCGTGTTACAAAAAGCAGGGTGTTACTGTCCAATACAGACCCGGATGTATAGCTGCAGAGTACAAAAACGGAGAGCCTGGAGTAGCATGAACAGACACTAACCAGAGGCAACAGTGGGAATATGGAGATGGAGACAGAATATCCATATTCCCACAACTTTCCCAAAGCCAGAACATTCCCCCCATTTAAATCCTATTGGACAATGGTGGACCTAGCGGAAAATGCAGTTCATTCCCACACACGATGACCAACACAGCCGCCTCAAATGAACGATGTCCTTAGGTGAAAGAAGAAATTGGATGGGATGGGGTGGGGTGGGATTGAGCCGCAAATATTTCAAAACCACAGAAAATACATTCCACATTCACTTCCAACACTTTCTGCTCCTCCTTGTGGATCAACATCTTACTTATATGCCATCTCTCATATTTGAAATAGTAAAAACAGAAGAAAATGACTACAAAGGGGTTTTGGAAAAACAACAGGTATAAAAAGAGAAGGAAAAGAGAAATGCCTCCGGTGCTTTCAGTCAGGCTGTGTTAAAATAATGGAATACACTGCAATCTCAAAACATTCTTCCTATTGGTCTAAAAGCAATCACTGGTTTAAACTAATGAGCAGTCACCAGGCTGGCAAAGTCATTTGGGTAAAGTTTGCTGTGCAAAATGATAGTTAAACTGCAATGAAGTTCAATGAGGAAAATAAACACATTGTAAGGTCATCCTTAAATATGTAGGCAGGTGAGAAATTGGGAGATGCGCATGAAAATAGGACAAGGGGGCCTCGTCACAGCATCAGAATAGTGTGCCATCACCTCATATGCAGACAACTCCAGCACCTCGTTGAGGTCGTCCTCCAGCTCAGACAGAGGCTTGTTGATCACAGCAGCTGCTTTCGCTACGTCCGGGTGATAGTGCTTCTGCAGGGTCTGTGCAGGAGGCAGGAGAAGGAGAGACAGATTACTTTAGTTTTCAGACACCTACCCTGCGGGACTCAGTCTGAAATATTCAGTTCAATTAATTATAGGCCTTATGGATTGCAGGGCTCGTAACACGTAGTAGAGGTTAATAAAACGTCTTCTAAATTGCAGCTCAACTCCTGCTAGATGGGGAAAAAAGGTTGCACAGGATAGGAGTTAAGGTGTTTATCATGAGGAGGCTGTTTGAGGACCACGCATCGTTGACATGCCAGTTCATTTTCTTGCTGTCTCTCCTTATGTCTTTAAATGCAGCCCAATTGTAAACAAAAGCTACAGCATTCTGTACTTGCAGAATGAAGGGAATGAGCAAATGAAGGGAACTACCAAGAAACATTTGACAACCACTGCCGGGTCAGCTTTGAGAGGCAATTTTAGATGTATAATTTCGGGATATGTTTGTGGCTTGGGAGCCTCTGCTTTTTCACGCAGAGATGAAATGTCAACATTAAATTTCACATGTATTACATTCCAAGTAATACACACGAGGACAGATATGTGTATAACCACTAAAGACCGAGCGCTTGGTCAAGCACACCCTCCCCGTGTGCGAAGTGGATGTTTGTGGGTTTGGGGGAATCCTGGCCTCGCTCAGCACCACATCGCTTCAGCACCACATCCTGTGACATCTGAAGAAAAAGACACGGCCACCCACCTGCAGTTCCCAAAGACTGCTCTCCATGGCGTGGCACAGGACTGGATCTGTCTCCTCCATGACATAAGGATCCTCACACGTCGCTGGTGCGGAAGAAACAACAAAAGTCATGTTAATATTCCTCCCCCTGGAACTTTTAGGCACATGTTCAAATGTTTCAGATTTAACAATTAAACATGAAAATCCCAATTTCAAATAAGAAAGGCACAGAAAACTGATTTATTCTGTAAATGACATGGGAAGTGTTGCAGGGACTCCATTATTTGGGGTTGGACTGAATGTACCAGTAAACTTACTGATTCAGCTGGACATACAATCAGTGCACAACGTCTCCAGCAGATTTCTAACAGGCTAGGGGGTAAAGCAACTCAATGATCCCAACTGCCTGACGTGACGCAGCAGGAGAGCTGTGCAGTGGCTGGAGAAAAGGCCTTGTTAGTGGGGACAGTGGGCCTACCCTCCGCAGCACTGGGCCGGTGGATGAGGACCCGACAGCTGGGGTGCCGGCGAATCAGATTACAGATGAAGGGGATGATCATGAGCAGGGCGGCGGGGGGCGCGGTCAGCGCCAGGCGGGACAGCCTCTTGACGAAGGCCGCCACCAGGTACACTGGCAGGTGACTGGGGGACAAAAAGAGCTTCATCACCGAGACAGGAACTCCAGCAAACTGGAGGACATTAACACGGAAACCTGGCACTATGCTAACGCTTACAGGCGAACACAAAAACAAATATTTCCACGCCTATCACACGAAATGATCATGTTATTCACTGCTCTTTGAGCAGATTTCTTATGTTTTTAAAGCAGAAGCCCATGGCGCTTATAAAAAAAACGGGGCACAAATACAGTCTCTCTCGCTTATTTTGTTGCTAGCAGGTGTTCCATTGTGCCCATGGCTCGCAATGTTATATTCAGGAATTAATGAAAAAAATAAAACCGATGTGCAAGCCTCTCACCTTGAGGAGAGAAAAAGGTTGGCCAAATGGAAGAAACGTGCTCTGTACTTCACATGGAATATGGATGGCTCCAAGAGACTGTAAAGCTTCTTGTAAAAGTCTGGGTAGTCTCTGAAATAAAAAAAACAAACCAACATCCAGCTAGTTAACTCAGGAACAACTACCGCATTGAGTCATTGTGAGAAATATAACTGGTTTACATGATCATCCCCGTCAGCTAAGCTGTTCTCCATCATGTTTTCTGTAGTTAAGAAGCATTTTAAATTTATGACAATAGTTCACAAAACCAGATAGCAAAAGCAGAACAGAGGCCTAGTTTATCGGCAGTTCTCTGAAGGCATGTTCAAATGTACACACCACAGACCTTTACAGTAGAAATACTCACAGGTTGTGCTCATGGATGAGGACAAACAAGCCATTTAAGGCCAGAAGACTAATTGCTCCTCCTGAAAAAGCCACAAACAAAAATGTCAAAAGGGGGAAATTGTACAATATATAACAACTAGGGCATAATTCCCACAGTTAAAAGGACAAAAAATAGACCTTTAAAATGTTATTTTCTTGATAACAACAAAACTGGATGTAAGAAAAAAAAGACACAATGATCTCATCCTCCAGGAAAACTAACAAAACCTCCATAAAGAGTCACCACCTGGCTTAGATCCAAGTTAGTATGAGTCAATAGAAAAGTTATTGACTTGAGACTGCAATGGGAAACAGAAAGTGAGACACTCTTGGCACCCCTCACCAACATCATAGGCCGCTGTGAGGAAGTCTATCATCAGGGCTGGCTTGCTCATGTGTGGCAGAATGGAGTCATGGAGTATGACCAGGACTTTTTTATACATCCCGCTTGGCAACTGAAATTGGAAACAGAAACCTGGAAATGAAGCTGTGGAAGAGGGAGGACAAATGTCTCTGGCAGAATTTATGAAGTAAAAAACAGGCAGCGCAAAAGTGAAAACATGCCAGGCAAGAAAACAGCCAACCTCTCGTTTCATTGCTTCAAAGGGAGATCATCTTTCTTGCATGCTTACCTTGTATTTCAAAAAGCCAAGCCACATCCGTTCAAAGACCCGTCTGTGATCCTGGGAGGGGAGAAAGCGAACCAGTGAATATCAGACAGGGAATGGACTGCACACTGAAGCACACCAAGAAGGGACTGCTACCTACTTTCAGTTTTGCTGCTTTCCAATCCTCGTGTTTTGCTGTAACACAAAAAAGAAATTATTAAAGACATTATTAATGTAATGGGTAAAATGTTTCATATCTTATACATTTTCAAAATTGTCAAAACAGCTTATTTGGTCTGTTGTTAATGCTGAAAGAAAAAAGTAAAGAGAGATACTCATTATTGATGAATGCAGACTCACCTTCCTGTTTTACCAGGAAGTTGACCAAATCTGTCTGCTGGCTGGGCATAGTGATGTTTGTCATTAGGGTGAAAACATTGTTCTGATATAGTGGCACTGCCTGAAAATAAAGAGGACCACGTATTATCCAGTCTAATATTAAATTACATAGTAGGATTTCTTCTGAGACTTTTGATCTTTTCTCAAACTCTCACAGAGTTATGATAAGCAACTTTGGAAGTAAAGTAATACTCCTGGAAAGGCATAAACAAAGGCTTTTGCAGTGTGGACATGTAAGACTAACTTTTACATTTCTGAATTAAACAAAATATTGCATGAATCTGAAAAAAATAAAAATTCTACCGAGGTCATGTAAAATCGGAATATTAACAGTGCTACTTTCATACTGAGTTGGGCTGAGCTGCCAGTTTTACCTCTTTTGTTTTCTGCATCACTTTAGCCACATTCTCAGTGACAAATCCCATGACGTAATACCGCACATCTTCAAAATCCAGGAATTCCTGAAACCTGGAGATCAGGAGAGACATGTCCTCTTCTTTGGACAACAGCCGTTCCACAACTGACTGAAACACAACACAGGTACAGAATGAAAAATAGCTGTGCCTCAGATGACACACAGCAGACTACAAGCTGCAGCACTGACAAATTGGCATCAAAAACTGGATACCGTTATTTAGTATTTAAAACAAAACTATACACAAAGTATTACATTTTGTTTTAAAAAAAGACATAATCCAAATAATATCCAATTAACTTATCGTGGACTTTTATTCTTCTAACACACGAAATATATGAAAGATTACCAGAAGTCTTCCATTACAAGACATTATGAGAAGCCACTCAGCTGATCTACTGTAGCTCGACTAGAAACTAGTAGTTAACCGATCCTGGTTTTTAATCCAGCCAAATTCATGGTATCAGCTTCAATAACATGGCAGGATAGCTTGTTCCAGACTCCACTAAACCCTTAGGTAGACTGCCTCCTGCTCTGCATTTTAGATGCTCTTCCCACTACTTTCCACTTGAGTCCTTTGGGTCTTGGTTACCTTCATTATCATAGTGCTGAAATTTTGAAAAAACAAACAGCCCATCTTTACATTTCCAAACATGGTAGCACAGCCATGCTTTTCTTATACTTGGGTACTTTCTTCTCAGTAAAAGATGGGGAAGACTTACTTTCAAATGCTCCCGAGGGAAGTTGTAGTGTTCATCCCAGTCTACAGCAATTAATGGGGCTTTGCCTTCTTTTTCCACCAACTTCATTAGTGTGCACAGAGCACACTCCTAACGAGCCAAAGACACAAATGAAGCATGCAGTTTTCCCCCCCCTGAGACAAAGACTATATTTTTAGAAGACAGACCAAAAGGAGAAAAAGTCTTTAAGGTTATTCCCAATGTTTTCAATTTCATTATTACTTATTGCTTTTACGATCCTTTTACAACAATTCTGCCATTCAATTAAAAACAAGTAATACTTGAAGAACACCAAATAGAAAGCTTAATCTTCTGGAACACAGGGAATCTTAATGAACCTGATCCCACACAAGGCCAGCTTGTCCAACCTATTGCAGGATCACACTCCTATACAGCTTTCCATTTGGAATGACACGGCTGTCACACTAGAAATTTCACACATATGGTATTACTCTTGTTTTCTACAGATTGAAACTACTTACTCTGACCCGGTATGCTTCATGGATCATGAGATCCTGCAGCTGCTCCACACAGCTGTTGTAGCGGTGTCTCATCCACATCTTGTACTTCTCTTCAGCACTGTAATTAGCTGTGACAAGAGTGAATAATTAATGGGGTTCTTGTGCTCCATTGAGAAGCTACAAAAACCTCGATACATGGCTCCCTGCAGTGACAGCTAAAACAGATATCTGTCTGCGGGAAAGCAGCCTGTGCAGTTATAGAGCTCTGATTTAGTAACAACAATCATTAAATGAATACCTTGGATTAACTTATTTACTAACATTTTCCAGTATGTCTTTTCATTTCTGACATAGCACCAATTTGGGTCTCCCATCTGTCCCCTAAGCATCAAAGCTCTGGAACTCTATTCCTAAGGATATCAGTCCCCTTCTCTAAACTCCTTCAAATCTAGACTCAAAACCTTCTTCTTTAGAAGATCCTTTACTTAACTGACTCTGTTCTTTACCCCTCTGCTCCTACTGTATTCAGTACCCCCCATCTACCGTCTCCTCAAACTGTGTATTTTCTTCTGTTGTTGCTCTGTAAAGCGGTTGAGAAGCCACGTTTAAAGGTGCTATATAAAACAAAGTTTATTATTATTATTATAATGCAAGTCTTTTCTGATGTAATGCAACTAGATAATACAGCGTAAAATTTCAATGCACTCTTACAGATAGCAGATAAACCAGATTCAGTTTAAAACACAACAGACTTCAAACCATGTTACCTGTCACCAGCGTTTCCTCCTCCTTCGGTAACTGACCAATAAAAAGATCTCCTCTCTCCAACAAGGCACAAAACATCTTGTTACAGGCATTGACGGCACAAACAACTTCATCTTCTTTCTCTGCCTAGGAGATAACAAAACTGTCTTAAAATAACCGTGTGGATTTTTAGTGTAAAAAACTAACGTTTCAACGTCACAATATTAGTGTAAAGACTTCAAAAAACGAATAAGAATAATTAAAGAACACTAATCAGAAAACGGTATGGAGTTTAATTATTATCCGACCAAAAAAAATATTGCAACACTCAAACCAAACGTTCAAAGATACAGCTCAAAAACGTTTTCATCGCAAATCATTGCTAGACTCACTACCAACGTAAATTAAAATCTCAGACCCACAAAACAGCACATTTAGATTTCCTAACAGTTGCTGGTTTTTTTAAGAAGTGTGATGACGAGGTAAGACGTTCTCAACAGAAAGATCAGCCTTTCATACCTGTAGATACTCAAGAATATCAAAGACGGCGTTTGCGTGTTTCCTGCTCTCAAGAACAAGATCTACTTTACTGTTTATTTCTGTTTTAGGCGATTTTTTGCTTTTTCCCTGGTCAGATTCCCCCAATCTCACGTTGCGATCCCTGGACGGCGCCATGTTTACAGCGCAATATGACGTAAGCGAGTCAATTCCTGTCGTAGACTTTTGTCTGGAGCTCCTCCTACTGGTTGGAAGATTAAAAAAAATTCACGAGGTAGTGGAAATTGTTAGGGTTACTCTTGATACTAAAGTAACAAAACAATCATAATAACAGTATGACTGCACTTTACAGAGGTGTAAAATAAAAAAAAAATGTTATAAGAAGTATTTATTGTTCCCTAGTGGAAACTTTTCCCCTACATACATAGAAACTATATAGACATGCATATAACACAAGCAGAAAGGGGAACAGCTGAACATACAAAGAGATTAGAAAATGGAGCAGACACAGACACTAATTAAATAAAAGCCATTCAAACAGGGATGTAAGTGATACAAAACAGGTCTTTCTGGGCCAAACAACTGCAAGATTGCATAATAACCATCACTAATGTATCACTTATAACTGCAACAAATAGAACTGATGTTTTTGAAAAGGCATGACATAGATTAACTCATTGTGCTACTTGATATGTGACATATGGAATGCATGCTTTGAATACAGTTTCATTCCTCTTTTAAAGCCTGGACAGGAATGTGACTGTTCATGTCAGCCCAACTAATCCTACTTCTGTGTGAGGAGACGTGTT